TTAGACAAAGTAAATGTTCACTAGTTACACATACATCATTATCCCATGACAGTAAGGTCATGGGGTCATCTACCAGATACACACTTTTTTAGTTCAACAAATTCTTCAGGACGGCTTTTCAGCTGAACTCAGGCCATTAGGTGTCTTTTCCCAAAGTCCAGCATTCCTCATGAAGGCTTTCTGTCTTCTGATAGGCTCTCTTCAGACTGTCTCCTGCAGCTCCGCCTCTTCTCCTGCTGGTAGGGTCAGACACTTCTTGACCTTTTGCCCAATTTGGCTCCCACAAGCAAGTTCTGATCCATTATCTCTGCGACCCTTCCGTGACCCTCGCTTCTCGCCACAGTTTCTGACCCCTTGGATTCTTCATGGAGGGTTTGTCCACTTCTGAGATGCTTTATCTTCAGTTGATCTTCTTTTGTCCCAGCTTGGATGCTTGTTGTGCAGTTGGGCCCCTGTCTTCTGGCTGATTTTACTCGCATAAGCAAGTTCAGTGTGGGTCCAATCTGATCTCAGTGGCCCACCTGTTGACTCCGTTTCTTGCCACTGTCTTTGGCATGTGGGAACTTGCAACAAACACACAACCATGCTCGTCTTCTGTACTCGACACAACGTCACGTTATCGGCCATGTTACCATTACCTGCCATTTTTTATCACTGAAAGTTTTATTCTAGTTTTTTTTGTTATATTTTATTCTATTTTACTCTGTTTTTAATCTTATTATTCATGTTATATGTAGCACATTAGTACCGAAGCAAGTTCCTAGTTTGTGAATTGTTTGTTCACTGACAATGGCAATAAACCTATTCTGATTCTGATTCCTTATCCCAGAGGTGAGCTAGAAGAAGAGTGAACCGTCCCAGCTGCTCCACCCGGATAGCTGGTTTGACTTTCCCACTGTCGCTGGGTAAGGCTGCTGCGTGGTCCTGCAGCTTCTGTAATAGTTCACGTGATGTAGACTCGCCCTGGCTGCAAGCCTCCATGTTTGAGGAACCTATACAGCATAAAACAGCATCAGTAATTACTGTTCCCACAGAGGGAGTTGCAAATTCTTCCACATGCTCCATTTTATCACAATTTCAGTGAAATCTCACCAGGAAGCACAGAAAAAGTGTAATGCACTAGAGGTGCCAAAAGATAGAGCCAGAGCTAGATGCACCGTGCGGAAGGGGTAGTGTGCACGCCACTCCGTGATGTCACTCCGTTACGCACAGATAGTCCGTCCCCAAAATGGCGACGGGCCTGCTTTAGACCACTTTTCACAACAAAAAGTCACAATTATACACTCAAAACCACTAAAACATGCAGGGTGCTTGTTTTGTAGGATAAAGCGAGTTATGACGAAGTCAAACGCTGCCAAGAACGGTTGAAAGCGCTGTCGAATTGCTAGTTCGGTGGCGTTGTGAGCCCTGTAACCCTTAGCGAACAGCTCAAACTGTTTGTGAAGCGAGTCTTTTTGGCGTGATTCTGATGAGAATCAGCCCTTCGACCGAGTAAATCGTCGGTAAAGCGTTTAATTTGCGGCATGCAACTTTGCTTATGCTTCTTCTTTTTATTGACCCTAGACCTGGTTTCATGGGGTGATTCTTATGGGTAACAGTACTGATTTCTTGCTAATTAATTCAGCTTAAGAGCTAATTAATTCGCCGAGGCGTCTCTCGTCTAATTCTGATGTAGATACAGAATTAGTGTCCGGAATTCTCGTCGGAAAAACGACCGACTTTGCGGCGTTTGAGGCTGATTAAAACAGTTGATCAGACCGATTCAGCAAACAGCTAAATGCTAAGTGGAGGTCGGTTTCCTGACTCCAGTTAAACACAAGCTTATCACAGTGACAGAACTACCCAAGCCGTGCAGTAGAATCCCTCCAACAGACAAACACACACCTCCATACATCTATTTATCTTAGAACAAGAAGAAATAATTATTACCTGTGGTTTAGCTGAACTGGAGAAATGGAGGCTGATGTACATAACAGCAGACTGTGAAAGACAAGGGAGAGCAGCGCCCCTTGGTGGCGAATAATGAGATCGCCCTCGTTTTTCTCCCAGACACAGAAAAATAGATTTTTGATTTTAATTAATGATTCAACCCATTAATGAAGTCTACAATTTTAATGAAACCTGGCTGAGCTCGTCATCATGTAATGAAATCAATAAGAGGGTAAACTGGATTAAAATGCTTAAGAGCTATTTATTTTTATTGTCATTTCTTGTGACCCATAGCTGTGATAATCTATTAATTATAGAATATCACCTGCTTGGTCTTTAAGATGATTAGGCGGAAGATTCGAAGACACTTTGTTTATTCAGGGACTGTCATCACTTTGTTTAGGATTCAAGAACCAGTCAGGTTTGCAAACAAATAATTTATTTTACAAACAATTTAAGACATGACAAATGGTTTAAACTATTATTTACTGTGAGCGGATGCGAACTAAGAGATGGGTGTCTGGAACTAGGTGTGACTATAGTATGTCAGAGTCGGTAGCATGAGAAAGCTGAATCCTGGATGGAGGAAATTTGGTTTGCAGGTAAGCTACAAGCTGTTATTCATCAAACTGCATACAGATGCTATCTGGGTGTCTACGTTACCCATAGAGGCACCCTCTTGACGGATCCGAAAGTCAGAGGGGGTCGGATGACCGCTGGTACCGGAGGGCTGTAGAGTACCGAGGTTCCGTGCTTTCAGTCCTATAGATGTGTTTCGGGTCACGCCAGATGGATGGAAACCACGCGTCTTGGACTCTTAAGGAGTCTAAACAAATCAGCTGTCTGCAGGAAAAGACTATCTTGTTGTTCGGCTTCGCGGGTGCAAAAGCTCAAGGTTTTAACTTTGTCAAAATCCTTCTGGTGGAAGAGGCTCGCTCAGACGGCCGTTCTGAGCTTCTCTCTCTCTCTGTCTGTCTGACTTACTGAGGTTGAGAGTGAAGCTCTTTTTAAGGCCTGGTGTTATCTCAGAAGTTGCCAAGCATCTCAGAACAGTCTCCGATTCTGAACTCTGAAATGTGGGACAAGGTTATTTGTGTGTCATGTCTTTATCTTAGCCTTACTCTGTCTGCAAGTGTGATGACCTAATCCAGTAAACATAGTATCATTGAAACAGATTCATGAAACATTTCTTCATTTATAATTATACATGGCAATATTTAGTGATTATTAATTACAAAATCTTAGTTATAAGATCTTCTTTTCTTCTGGGAATAAAAGTTTATCTAACAAAGTTCTGTGCAGAACCTTGAGGAAAAGAATGCTACTTGTTCATATTTCATTTTCTGTTGAAGCTTCAGTTCAGCTGATGAAGTCATCTGATTAAAGAGCCTGTGTGCAGACGTTCCATCTCCTGTCAGGGTAAAATACAGCAGAACGTGTGTGGCCAGGGTTATTTGCTCTGGCCGTGCATATGAACTGTGGGATCTGAAAATCAGTCCATTTGGTGACGTTACATGGCATTAACTCTGATATTAGCTCTGGTATTAGCTCAGATGCTAGCTTTGGTATTAACTCTGATATATATTAGTTCTGGTATTAGCTCAGATGCTAGCTTTGGTATTTACTTTGATATATATTAGCTCTGGTATTAGCTCAGATGCTAGCTTTGGTATTTACTCTGATATATATTAGCTCTGGTATTAGCTCAGATGCTAGCTTTGGTATTAACTCTGATATATATTAGCTCTGGTATTAGCTCAGATGCTAGCTTTGGTATTTACTCTGATATATATTAGCTCTGGTATTAGCTCAGATGCTAGCTTTGGTATTTACTCTGATATATATTAGTTCTGGTATTAGCTCAGATGCTAGCTTTGGTATTTACTCTGATATATATTAGCTCTGGTATTAGCTCAGATGCTAGCTTTGGTATTTACTCTGATATATATTAGCTCTGGTATTAGCTCAGATGCTAGCTTTGGTATTAACTCTGATATATATTAGTTCTGGTATTAGCTCAGATGCTAGCTTTGGTATTTACTCTGATATATATTAGCTCTGGTATTAGCTCAGATGCTAGCTTTGGTATTTACTCTGATATATATTAGCTCTGGTATTAGCTCAGATGCTAGCTTTGGTATTTACTCTGATATATATTAGTTCTGGTATTAGCTCAGATGCTAGCTTTGGTATTTACTCTGATATATATTAGTTCTGGTATTAGCTCAGATGCTAGCTTTGGTATTTACTCTGATATATATTAGCTCTGGTATTAGCTCAGATGCTAGCTTTGGTATTTACTCTGATATATATTAGTTCTGGTATTAGCTCAGATGCTAGCTTTGGTATTTACTCTGATATATATTAGCTCTGGTATTAGCTCAGATGCTAGCTTTGGTATTAACTCTGATATATATTAGTTCTGGTATTAGCTCAGATGCTAGCTTTGGTATTTACTCTGATATATATTAGCTCTGGTATTAGCTCAGATGCTAGCTTTGGTATTTACTCTGATATATATTAGCTCTGGTATTAGCTCAGATGCTAGCTTTGGTATTTACTCTGATATATATTAGTTCTGGTATTAGCTCAGATGCTAGCTTTGGTATTAACTCTGATATTGGCTCTGGTATTAGCTCAGATGCTAGCTTTGGTATTAACTCTGATATTGGCTCTGGTATTAGCTCAGATGCTAGCTTTGGTATTTACTCTGATATATATTAGCTCTGGTATTAGCTCAGATGCTAGCTTTGGTATTTACTCTGATATATATTAGCTCTGGTATTAGCTCAGATGCTAGCTTTGGTATTAACTCTGATTTTAGCTCAGCCATTAGTCCTGAGTAGCCCTGTTATTATTAGTCACAGACTAATCCAAATGAGTCTACAATTGAGTAAAGTCTTTGTTTTCACAGATTCATGCCTAATCCAGTTCAGGTGATCAAACAAACCTGACAATTAATTTGAATAAACAATTGATCTGCTGTTGTTTACTTGTTGGGGTTGTTGTGGTTTATGTAAACAGACTGGCCAGAGCTGAGTTGGGAATAATCTTGCTGTGTTTCTGTGTAGGAGACGAGATCCTGGAGGTAAATGGAAACTCACTAAGGGAACTCACTCACCAGCAAGCAATCCAGACCTTTAAGGTTTGCAACAACAGTTTTATACTTTTAAAACGACTGGGATAGATGTGTTTTCCAGACTTGGACTCATTGAGCCTGCGTATTGAGGAGTATTAAGATCTTTCTAACACCTTTCTAAAGAAACACCTCTTGTGTCGTTCTTACGCAGCAGCTGAAGAGAGGTGTGGTGACCCTAACTATCCGAACCCGTCTGATTAGCCCCAACCTGACTCCATGTTCCACCCCCACCTTGCCCAGTCGCTCTGCATCACCCAGCTCCAGAACCAGTGGAGGAACACCAGTGCCAGTAGGACTGGATGGATCTGATGGTAACTGGGGTCCAGGTCCTGGTTCAAAGGACCGCATTATCATGGAGGTCACACTTAGCAAAGGTAAGCTTTGGAGAGAAACGAGCTGGCATCTACAAACTTCTTTTGTTTTGTGTTTTTCTTAAAAGCTTAAAAGCCACAGCTCTGGTGACTTCAGCACAATACCATTCCCTGTCCATTGAACTCCAGCTTCAAACCTAACCCTAACATCTCAGGAGTAAAAGATGATCCCGCAGCTTGTTTTACGTCACTGTACTCTGGGTATCCATGGAAAGGTCTAACCGTCAGTCCCATTATTTTGCCAAAAATCTTCAAATTCCGATTTTATTTTTTAATAAAAAAAAAATAAAATTATTTAGCAGAATTTTCCACGAGCGGTGGTTTCAGTGCAGTGGGGTTGTCTTCCACAGACAAACACATTAAAGAGGGAGCACTTTTCAACTGACATGGTCCAGAGTAGCTCCCCTGAAATACTTTAACACTGATGAGCTCAGCTGATGGACCAGATGAACCCAAACTAACTCTACATCTTTACATGTTGGCCAGTTTTCTGCCTTTTGTTTGGGTCCAATTAGGAAATTGTTTCTGAACACTTTCTTTCTGGCTAAAATTGGACAATATCACGTGTTTTGGGGATAGGTTATATTTTTTATTGAGCCACTCATTCTCTGACTTTCCTCTAAGAACGGGGTGAGAAATCCTGGTCTGTCGAGGGTCACTATCCTGCATGTTTTAGTTGTTTCCCTGCTTCCGCACTCCGCTGTTTTAGCGGTCGGTAGATCTTTTAGAACTGCAGTTCAAAGGTAACTCATGAGGTGAATATATATGAACCCAGGTAGCAGTTTCTCTTTAGGATTGAGAGGAGATGCAGGAAAATAATAAACAGGCAGGACAGAAAAATAGTCAAATAAAAACAAGTTAGTTTTTGTACCTGCTGGTTGCAACAAACAGACACCATTGAAGGTAATCAGAAGTGAGGAACAGAAAATGAAATAATTATTTTAATGTTTAGAGCAGCAGGAACTCCGAGAGGCTGCAGGCGCATCAGTGAGTTTGCGGACGCTGCGTAGGGGGAGGGGGGAGGGGCTGAAGCACCTGGGGAGGGGGGGAGGGGGCTGAAGCAGGGGGAGGGGGGAGAGGGCTGAAGCAGGGGGAGGGGAGGGGGCTGAAGCAGGGGGAGGGGGCTGAAGCAGGGGGAGGAGGGAGGGGGCTGAAGCAGGGGGAGGGGGCTGAAGCAGGGGGAGAGGGCTGAAGCAGGGGGAGGGGAGGGGGCTGAAGCAGGGGGAGGGGGCTGAAGCAGGGGGAGGGGGCTGAAGCAGGGGGAGGGGGGAGAGGGCTGAAGCAGGGGGAGGGGAGGGGGCTGAAGCAGGGGGAGGGGGCTGAAGCAGGGGGAGGGGGCTGAAGCAGGGGAACAGTAAAGATGCAGAAACTACCGATGTTAGAAGAGATGTGCTTAACTTTGAAAATGTGGGCGCAGTTTTAATTGTAAAAAACTCCAGCGAACCCCCCCCCCCCCCCCCCCCCCCCCCCCCCCGACACACACAAACATTATAACATTATATATACCAAGTAGTGTGTCTATAGTTCTATTGTGATGTCTTAGTAAATATTGTATTTGGTGAAAGATAAACTTTACTGTATTTATCCTAGTGGATCTATAATTAAACGGGTAAACTAGTAGTAGCACATCCAACGTCAAGGAAAGCAAAAAGTTATTATCAGGAGAGGGAGAATGTTTTAGTGGTTAGCAGCAGTGTGCTAGACGATGGCCCCCTCCATGAGGCCACCACAGCTCAGCAGAACATCGTTGTAGCTTCTTCTGGGGAGAAAAACACTTAGAGAGAAAATAAAGTTAACAGCTGAAATAGCAGGAAATAATACAGTTAAAGAGCAGACTGTAGAAGAAAGCAGTAGAGTGTGGAAAGTGGTCAGTGTGTCCTCCAGCAGTCTAAGCCTATAGCAGCATAACTACAGAGATAACTCTGGATAATCTATCCTATTTAGATGGAGGCATGTTGGAGGCAGGGCAAGGGAGAGCCGTCTTTACCGACTGTACACTCCACACGTGTAATATAATGTTATATCCTGTGTCACGTGACATGATGCAAGTCTGTTCTACTTAACCGTTTTCTTTGACCAAGGAAGGACAGTGTCCTTGTAAGCAAGGTGCCTGGCCTCACAAGATATCGCCTCACAAGGCCAGGCGCCTTGACATTGAGACACAGCCCCGTCTCTAAACCAGACAACATGGCTGCTCTCACTGCTGTTTTCCACACCTGACACCCTTTTATCACACATGACACTTTCCTCCACCCATTCCAACCTGCTTGCAGGATTTTGCTTCTTTGTCACTCCAGACCTCCTCATGCTCCGCCACAGTTCCTCTCTCAGCACCCTGTCATAGGCTTTCTTTAGATCTAAAAGACACACCTTCGGATCTTAGATCAGGGGTGGGCCATCTTGGTCAACAAGGGCCACTATCCAACAGGTTTCAGTTGTTTACGTGCTTCAACACACCTGATTCCTGTATGAATCACCTGTTCAGCAGCCCATCAGACTCTAAAGCCACCTGTTACTCACCAGCAGATTCAGACCAGGTGTGTTTTAGCAGAGAAAAACCTGCTGGATAGAGGCTTAGACATTTTGTTACCCGAGTGTTTTCCCCAGCTGTTCCACAGAAGGTGGTGCGTTGTTATAAACATGCGATGTTAACTCCTGCAGAGCCTGGCGTTGGTCTAGGGATCCGAATTTGCTGTCTGACTCCGGAGAACTCGGCTCCTGGGATCTACATCCACAGTTTGGCTCTGGGATCTGTGGCAAAGATGGATGGAAGGCTCAGGTAAACGTTTCAGAGGACATGTGATGTAAATGTGTGTGAGGAGATGGGGTGGTGCTGATTCCTGTTGGTCTGTGTGCAGCCGTGGAGATCAGATCCTGGAGGTGAACACGGTCAGTCTCCGTCATGCTCCTCTCAGTGAGGCCTACGCTGTCCTTACCGATTGTGGACCAGGACCAGTCAGTCTCATCATCAGCAGACACCCTAATCCAAGGGTAGGGTTAGGGTTACCCCCCACACCTCTGTTGTTGCTTGGCTTCCTGGGGCTGGAGGCTAGGAGGGAGATCTGGCCGTCTGGTTGGGGTCTGGGGTGGTGGGTTGCTGTGCTCAGTGTTGGGCGGGGGAGCCTGCTCATCAGCACCCCAGCAGAAAGGGTCAAACTCTGGTAACCGGTGATGGTTGTACTCCATGTGCAGCAGTACCGGGACCAGAGTGAATAGGGTGTGTATGGGGAGCATGAGTGGGTGTCCGGCGTGCATTTTTGTAAGTCTTGGGTTGTATGTGCATGTGTGAGCATGAGGGAGGGAGTGTGTGACTGTGTTTGTGTATGACTGAATATGTCAGGTGGGGCCTTTGACTCCTCCCTTCTCCTGGAACTTCTTTTGATGATATAGATCTTCGTCTCCCCTCTTCCTGCCACACCTGGTGTGGGGTGTGGTGCCTTGGTCTGCCTGGGTCGTGGCTCCCGGGTCAGGGGGTTTAAGATTTTTGGCGTCTGCCTGACCAATCCCGGTAGCTGCCTGCTGGGGTCTGGGTCCCTGGGCTCTGCTGGGTCCCCGGTGGGGCTGGTCACCCCTGGGTCCCGGGCTCAGCTGGCTAGGGGGTGGGAGGTTGCGGACGGGCTAATGGGCTTGCAGCCGATATCTCCCAGGACTCTGCCGGCTGCTGGTTGTGGCCCTCCGGGGCGATCCTCTGCGCCTCTCGAGGGGGGCGGGGGCTTTTCTGGTCACAGTCTCCCTAGAGTTCCTGTGTTCTGGGGCAGCGCCTGGATCTCTGGGACTTGGAGCTCCCTCCGTCTCCTGCGCATCTTTGGGGGGCAGATCTGTGGCCCCTCACACTCTCTATTGGACGCTCCTAAAGAGAAACCTTACATAAACAAGCGCGTGTACACACACAGGTGCTCACATGGTGCTCTCATAAGTATGGACTTGGGCACGTTCAGCACATGTCTTAAGGCTATGGTGGGCACTACATGCACTGTGATTTATTATTGTGTGATTGTTCAGTTAAACAATGTTGATTTTACATTTCATCATCACGTTGACGCAGTGATAGTTTGCTCCCGTTGTATTGTTGTGTGTCCCTTTGTTTTTTGTTTGTTTTTTGTTTTTGCTTTTTCTCTTTCTGCGGGTCTAGAAGCAGACTCTTGTTCATTATTGTTTATTTTTGTGGACCCCCCCCCCCCCCCGCACCACCACCACCACCACCATGTTTTGTCTCTTCCTTTCTCTTTCACCTCTGACTCCGTGTCTGGTCGGAATTACAAAGCATTCAAAAACAACAACAATAAAGTTTTAAGTATCAGGCGTGACATTAAAAGCAGACGCTTTGATGCTCCACCTGAGAGTAAATCTGTAAGGCTTGTCACCAGCATTCAGACATCAATTCTGCTTGCTTCACAGCCAGACAGGACACGGTAAACAATAAGGGGTTACCCCCCCCCCCCCCCCCCCCTCATTTAATGCTTGAACCCTGTGGAATGAGTTCCATTCATACACTCACTGTGTTGTCCTGTGTCAGGTGACTGAACAAGAAATGGACAACATGATATCACGATCAACAAACAAGGACAAAATGAGCAGGAATCGATCTTCGCCCAGTTCTCAGGGTCTGTTCTCTTACTCATTTACCTTTTATTATTCCCGCATCAGCTGACACCTGTGTTTTTTAGAGCTCACCTGTGGGAACCCCCACCCAGCTGGGAAGGATGGGTCGGGAGGTGTCCTGGCTCCTTTCAGCTGGAGCATGAAGAGGTTCCTGGAGCCGGCCACGAGAGTGAGTCCATCTGTCCACGGTTTTCGTTTAGTCTTCATTGTGAGGGCAGAAGTTTGGGGCCAAAGTGATAAAATACAGGGCTCCGCTTTAGCTTCTCTGTAGTTCTTTTTGTAGTAAATCTAGCTTTTTTATTCTCTATTTAAAGGGAACTTATTCTAAATTGTTATAAACTAGTTATTATGGTGCCTTGGTCCAGACAAGGGGTCATCAATTAAAATCCCAGTAGGTCCAGTTACAAAGATTTCTTTCACAACATGGTCAACATTTCGTGTCTTATTTCATCCCATCAGCGCAGTTTCTTGCTATATGCCGACTATGCAAAGGCGTAGGCACCCACATGGCCACTAGGGGGCCCCTAAGTTCCTGCAGTCCACATCCTCGCCTATAATTCTTTAAAAGATTAGAAATACTTTATTAAGGATATGATAGCAAAATAAGCTGCAGTAAAATAAGCTTTTGTGGCGCAATTAAGCCAAAACTGCTACTCTCAGTTTCACTGTCTGTCACATTGTAGACATGACAAGCCGAGTGGCAAATCTGGTCGGTTTAACGTTCTGGTGGCACTGCTGCAGCTGATGTTATCAGCGTTCAGTGTTCTGGGTTTGTTTTTGTGAGGAATAAACATTCAGGCAACCCACCTTGGTACATTATTGCCAGGTAAAAGTAATACCTTACAGGGCCTTTTATGGACAAGCACCATCATACATTGGGGATCTTCTTAGTCCCTACACCCCCAGCAGGTCCCTGAGGTCCAGTGACCAAAGCCCACTGGTTGTGCAGCACCAGGCTAAAGGTCAAAGGTGACAGACTATCTGCCGCTGTGGCCCCCAGACTCTGGACCTCTCTCCCCCTGACCCTGAGATCAGTGGACTCAGTGGTCTCCTTTAAACTCACCTGTTGAGGCTTTGGCGTGACCTTCATCACCCTCTCCTTATTCTGCTCTTTGTACCAACTCCACCTTTCCCGCGATTCACTGATTGCCTCTTTCTTACTCATTTTCTCTCTTCCTTTCCTTACAAATGTATTTTCTCATTTTTATGATGTTTCTTAATCATTTAAAAAATGTTTTAATGTTTGTGCCTCGTGATTTACATCTTGAGAGGTGCTATATAAAGTATAGACGTAAAATACACCTGAAAACATTTCTTACCTTTAGTTTATCTTGTTTCATGTTTTTATAGTTTGATGTTATTTCCTGTCATGTTTACAAATATTATTGTGCGTTACACAGATATTAATATTGAGAGGCACAATTTCAAACTGTCACAGCTCATTTTGGAATTTTCCAATAGTAATAATAATAATTTTTATTAAAACAAATATAAATCTAGAATTGTAATGATCAGTGTGAAACTTTTCATATTTCTTTACAGTTTCAGTTAGGTTTAGTTAACATTTCCTTAACACAAGTTGAAAATTATTTCACTTGAAGAAAAATTCATATGTTTTGGTCGATTAAAACTAAAAGAAATTGGACGACTAAAGTGAGACTTAAGTAAAGAATTTCAGTCACAAGACCAAGACTAAAACTAGATAAAAATTTCTTGTCAAAATTAACGACGCAAAGAAATTTTTTTTAACCGAGGGTTGGGTTATGGTAGGACGGTCGAGTTTTTGTTTTTTTTAGGTGTTTGAGAAATGCTAATTCGCTAGCTATGATTTGGATTGGCATAATCTGTGTTAGCCAATTACAGACCTATCTCACATCTACCTTACTTATCCAAGCTGCTTGAGAGGGTTGTATACTTACAGTTGGTTGCATTTTTAGACATTCACGAACTCTGGGAGATCTTTCAGTCAGGGTTCAGAGCAGGTCACAGTACCTCAACTGCACTCTTAATGGTTCTTAATGATGTTTTTTAGGGATGAGCGAGTACACCACTATCTGTATCTGTATCTGTTCAACCAACTAAATTATCTGTATCTGTACTCGGAATGGGCGTGGCATAACCCGGAAGTGGGCGTGGTTTACATCAATGTATTATTTTAAGTCTGAAATTGATATGGATTGATCAGAAGTTGATATGTGTATTGTTTATTTGAAAACTATTTACAGAGCAGCCTCAGAATTGAGATTAAACATTTTTGATCACAATAGTAAAGAAACTGTTACAGAACAAGTTTTTCAATAAAATCAGAACACTAATATTTAACTGCATGGATTAATACATCTGAACTCATGCAGTAGGAACTAGGAAATATGAAACGCTAGAACCAGACACAACTTTCTATATTTTTTTTATTTTAATTTGATTAAACTAATTTTTTTCTTAACGTTCTTGGCATTTTCCCACACAAAGTTAAACAAAACAATGTTGATTAATGTGTGTGTGTGTGTGTGTGTGTGTGTGTGTGTGTGTGTGTGTGTGTGTGTGTGTGTGTGTGTGTGTGTGTGTGTGTGTGTGTGTGTGGATGAGCCGGACGGACTGTGCTCCCGGTCGGCTAGAGAGTTTTGTAAGTAGGGAGGGGCGGGTGCTCTATGTGACTGGCCAATCACAGAGCGTGAAGACAGTCAGTTACCCAATGAAGATTTTCCTTCAGCACGATTACAGATATTGACTCGTTTTACTCGTCTCATGCTCGTATTCGTCAAAAATGCGTTATCCGTACCGGATACTCACCTGAAACGAGTATCCGGCTCATCCCTAATGTTTTTTTAGCTTGTGACGGGGGGGATGCTGTCATTCTTTTGATGTTAGATTTGTCTGCGGCCTTTGACAAGGTCGTTCATGACATACTTTTGGATCGTCTGCAACATTGGGCGGGAATTACTGGTGCAGTCCTACAATGGCTACACTCCTACTTATCCGACAGGAGGTTTGTGTCAGTGTAGGTGAAACCTCCTCGACCTGGGCGGGACTCATGTGGGGTGTGCCATAGGGTCTGTACTGGGTCCGCTTCTTTTTGCCATCTACTTACTACCATTGGGGAATCTTCTTCGGCGGTTCGGCATGCGTTTTCATTTTTATGCTGACGACTGTCAGATCTACCTCCCCCTTCAGCGGGGGGTCGATGGGTATCAACGCTTGTAGATGCCTTAGAGGTTGTGCGCTCCTGGATAGCTAAAAACTTTTTACATCTGAATGACGCTCAGACTGAAGTAATTGTACTTAGCCCTGGCATGCCTACACACCCATGTGATGCTGTGAATCTGGGCCCTATAGCGTCTAACATGAAGACCACCATCCGAAATTTGGGAGTGCAACTGGACTCAACCCTTAAATTCAACGCCATACCATCTCGGACTTTGTATGCTAGTGTTAGCAATTTGAATTTGATGTGTGCTGCTAGCGGTAGCCAGTGGAGCTCAATGAACAGGTTAGTTTACGTCCAATGGGACAACCTCTTTGACTGCAACGGACCTGTGCACTGGTTCTCATTGTCTTAGGCCAGTTTTAGCGTATATTTTGCGGTGTTCAGGTGCAAACGCTGCCGCTATTATGGGGTGCAGACGTAGCAGGCTATGCTAGTCCAGCTAGCGGATTTAAATGTGTGCAATCAGTGATGTGTCAGGGTTTGAGCACAATCACTCTTCAGATCTCTATCTGGATTGTTCCGAAGGCTCGGAAAGAGTCCGGGTAATTGCCGGAAAGATGCTATTTAACAGATGATCAGACTGTCTAGCGATTAGTTTTGTGCTAACGTGAAGAAAGAGAAATTACTTTCTCTGACTCAGAGTGACGCAAACCAATACAGACAAGGTAACGAATCTCACGAATAAACACACAGTTAAGCACATTCACTTACTTTTAGGAATTAGAATGTAATTTGAAGCAAACACTTCAGATTACAGGCTTGCTTGCTGTTTAAGGAGCTGGTGTCACTGTAAAAAGCTTCCCTTCCGGTGTAAGCCGGGGGAAGGAAAATAAAGAGACAAATTTCTCCATTTTGTAAATTAATCGAATTAAACACAAAATTGAGTGTTTTGATTTGAACAAGATTGGCTCGGCTCACCATATATGTAGGGTTAATAAACTACATATCTAGGAATTAAAGGCTGTTGCTATCACCTTATGCTTTAATTCCTAAGAAGATCAAACATATTGACGAATGAAATTTACATGTATATATACATATACGGATATATATATATATATATACATATATACATATACGTATATATATATATATATACATATACGTATATATATATTCATATATATATATATATATATATGTATATATATATGTATATATGTATATATATATACATATATACATATATATATACATATACGGATATATATATATATACATATACGTATATATATATTCATATATATATATATATGTATATATATATGTATATATGTATATATATATACATATATACATATATATATACATATACGGATATATATATATATACATATACGTATATATATATTCATATATATATATATATATATGTATATATATATGTATATATGTATATATATATATACATATATACATATATATATATATATATATGTATATATGTATATATATATATATATATACACCAACTTGCTTGGTCTATGTTAATCAAAATATTATAATATTTATTTTTAAAGATTTAATTTAATAGCAAAAGTTATTTGTTAATTCAGAAGATCTAAAGATCTTTGCTTGTTCAGTGATCAATATACACCCACTCCGTGTTTATTTCAAGAAAGAGTCAAGTTTAAAAAGGTTAAGAAATGTATTACTAAACTATTTAAACATGATAATTTAAAAGACAATTTATAAAAGTTTTGGTATTAAAAAGACTTTGGAATTAAAACAACCCTGTGCATGGATGAATCTAAGGTGAAGTGTGTTTTGCTTGCGGGTCAAGCAATGCCTCAGAACGTCTTAAAGAGAGGACGCGTTCTGGGTGGAGAAAGCATTTGGTTTTGTCAATAAGCTAAGTTGTTCTTATTAAAGAGCATTCAGACGCAATCTGTGTTCTACCTCACCATCACGCGACCCTCGTCGTGGATCCGGAGGTCAGAGGAGGACGTTGAACAGCCTCAGGG